GGTTATAGTGGACAGGTTTAGTAAATTCGATGTTTTTGTTCCACTTCCCGCTGAAGCAAGGACGGATTTGGTAGTTTGCGAATTTTTCAATCATTGGATGAAGGATTTCGGGCATCCCTTAACCATCGTTAGTGATAGAGATACTCGGTTTACAGGTGAACAGTGGCTGCAACTTATGAAAGTCTACGGATCCAAGTTGACTATGTCCTCAGGTAGACATCCTGAGACTAACACACAGACAGAGAAAATGAACAAAGTGTTGCAGACAGACGCTGCGAATGTACATTCGACCAGATCAGGTTGACAAGGATGAACATTTGTCCAAAGTTGCTAGTGCCTATAACAATTCTGTAGACCTATCTACTTGCAGAACACCTACTGAATTGCATTTGGGATGGCGCCCTTGTAGACCCATAGACTGTTTAAATCCTGATCAGACACAGAGACTTCCACCGGGAACTCGAGAATTTGTTGTGCAGTATCAAAAAGATATTGAAAAGGTTAAAGAAATATAGCTAAAACACAATATCAAATGATAGAGCAAGCAAACAAGCATCGTAGACCCTCGCAATTTGCTGTTGGAGATTTAGTCTGGGTAAAGTGAGAAAAGGTTAACCGACCCCCCATTTTTCACCTCAATTTATATGAAAATCATAAGGCCATCCCAAGCAAACTTCACACCAATCTATAGAGTGCACTTCTTACTAACATATTATAAAAAAAATATCAAAAAAAAAAATTAAAAACACATAAAACAGCAACTCAAAAGTGCATTTTCAGGCAATTTTGCCAAAAAACAACTTCATCAAAATTTCAGGATTTTCAGGATGATTAACAACACAAATTCTAATAACCCAATTCATCTTTACCCAGGGCCGAAAAGTGGGGGTCCCCGTTAACCACTTGTGGCCTGCAGGTCTTTCCAGCCTGCAGGTCTTTCCAATAATGACAGTATTGTGCCTCCTCCTGTAGAAACCCAACATGATCTGCAACAATCTTGCTAAATTTCTCATAGCTCATCCCCTCTTCTTTGGTGCGGGGATATAGCTGTGTTTTTAGGGGATCTGGGAGCGCTCTAGCAAAGTTATTTAGGATTTGTGCCGGTGTCAGTCCAGATCTGGGCATTGCAACAGTTCATCCGTCGTAGCCTTGAGGGCTGACGCACTCTTCCACTTACGGTCACCTATGTTGAGGATCAAGGATTCTATTCTACGAGCCAGATTCTAATCTTCAAATCTCTCTCTGAGGGCCCTAAAGAAATCCTCAATGCGCGTACATTGCGAATACTGAACCATGGTAGCGCATCCAACCTCTTTCATCAAGGAGATGGCAAAGCTAATGGCATCCCCTGCCATACATAAACTTGCCATTAAAACGTGGTCCCAATACGAAAGCTTTTGCGCACACAGATAAGTATCCATAGCGGCTTCCCAATGGAAGATACTCTCTTCCTTCTTCCCATTATACGGCAATGGCAGCTTCGCTTTCATCTTCTGCCTGGCTTCCTCCACTTCGCTGTCCCCTTCTTTCTTGGGACCTTTCCCCTTCTTATCTCCATCATCACCACCATCTCCTCCATTTCCTCCCCCACCAACAAGCTTTAATTTTCTTACCATAGCAGGATCAATTATCTTTTTGGTGAGGCCTTCATCTAGCTGCTTTAAATATCCAAAGATTCGGTCATCTACTTGGTCAGAGGCTGTGCGCAGGAAATTGTTTCAAGTTCCCTCAAACTCTCCCTGATGGAACTCTAGTTTACTGACGGATCGATGGAGGGCAGCGAGTTCTTCGTTAGTGTGGAGGAGGGTGTCAGTCAAGAGGGCTAATCGTTCGTCTGTCGCAACTTGCTTATTCTTTTGCTCTTTCAACAGTGCTTGCAACCTCTCCCCCTCCTCCTTCATCCCCTTTTTGTCGTTATACTCGTCTTTTTTGCAGCCACCAACTTGTCGTTGAGTTCAGCTCTTTTCTCCTCTATCAACAAGTCCCTCTCCTCCTGATCTGCTGCTCTTGCCATTTTGAGCACAAAAGCATTTTTCTCCTCCTCGGTCTCTTCCGGCATCTCCGTCTGATATCCGAACTATCCCATCCAATCCATCGCCTCCATCTGCAACAATCTGATTGCCCAGCATGGCTGCTTTCAGCCTTCTCCTCTGTCTCTTGGGTTCTCCTTCTTATCAACCTCTCACTTTCTTCTCCCTCTTCTTCCTCTTCTTCTTCTTTTTCTTCCAGTTCCTCCAACAACTTCTTCTCTTTCTCTTTCATCTCCCTTTCCATGTTTTTTTTCTCTTCTAACAACTTTTTCTTCACTTCCTCCTCCTCTTTTCTTTTCTTCTCCTCCTCCTCTTTTTTCTTCTCAGGCAGGCGGCGATCTATCTCTGCCTGCTCCTCAGCTGTACTCGCTTGTGTTGACTTCCCAGACCTTAATACCGCATGTGAATAGAAAGTCCGTTGGAAGCCAAGAGGGGAAATGAAGCAAAGAAGTGGGCCCCAGAGCACAGACAGGGCCGGAAGTGAGAACATGGGGTAGTCATCCATGGTGATTAGAAGCACAGGTAAGTATCCTCCACCTCCTTACCACTTAGACCTACCCCTTCCACTAACCACTAACTTCCGAGTGGGTCTGACTGTTGCTGAGTGTTGAACACCTCCCCAAATCTATATATGTATGTATCTTTTTTTTTTTTTTTTTAACGAACGGATTGGTTGCTAGACTGAAGGCCAATCGAGTATGACGACTTAGACCAGCCCAGCAGCAGCGACACCAAGGTAAGTGTTACATCTTCGACGCCACACGGGTCCTACCGGACCCGACTTAGGGCCAAGGGGACACAGTAGGGCCTAAAGGCCCAGACTTGGGGGTACAGCAGGTCGAAAGGCCGCATTTTGGACCAGACCCGACGAGCAGGCCCAAACGACATTACCGTTTGGGCCTGGCGACGCTCTTGAGGCTGCCGCCCGCCGGTCTGATCTGAACCGACGATCTCGACGGTTCAGGTCACGGCCAGGCCTCACAGCATTCAGGCCGGCCCCTTCCCCACCGGTACTTAGTACCGGTTCAGCCTCATTCTGAGGCATCGAGCACTGGGACGCTGCTAGAGCGCCAGTCGTATCGGTTCAGCAGCACGAGCGTTAGCGCAGCGCTATTCTTAGTGCAGCGTGGAGGAGCAGCAGCAACAGCGAGCGAGGAGCCAGGCAGTATCCATCAGCAGCGCGGTGGCCATAGCCGCCTTCGACCTGCAGTCGGACTGCAGCACAGCCAGGTACCAGGAGTCGAGGGGATTTCTCCTTCCTCCACGGCCCCAGGCTCTCTCCTCCTCACCTCCTCCTCCTCTGCCATCTCTTCTTCTTCTTCAGACTTCTTCTTCCTCTTCAGACTTCT